AAATGACACCGGTTTTAATCTATCCACCTTGTGACAGTTCAGTGACTGAGATTTTATTAAATTCATCCATTTATCAACCAGCCGCAATTATTCATCGTATGTTACTACTGCGAAGTCAGAAAGCGGGTCGAGTCACTAGACAAACGTACGGTTTGAGCGGTAGAACTAAGCGCAGTGGGCAGAATGAATTCTAATGTAAAACCGTAGTTCTAAAATCCTGGTTTTCTCAATACCATACAATAGACTTACGAATACGTGAAACGACTCGCATGTAACAAGTCAGCAGTAAATCCGCAGAAGGTTCCGTCAGTAACCAATGCGAGCGCGTAATAAAAATTATGACACAGTACAACAACGGTGAGAATGGTGCGAAATGTCGTAAGTTTACAATTTTAAACAGAAATAATTAGTAACAAACATTAAGTAAATCTGAAAACTATAAAATTCAGCTGTCAGACTCCAATTGGACAAACTCCTTAGATGAGATTCGCGAGCCAAGTCTACGAAGCAAACATTTTAGAGTACCGACGAAGTCACTGCAATCTTTGTCTCAATGTGGTAGCGCTTCGAATTGCTACTATCTCTACGCAGAAGGTATTAAAAACAGAGTCCAAATCTAGTTTCAGAAACACTTGATAATCCTTACTCACGGCGACGAACAGGGTAATAGGGAGGAAGTCATTCGACAAGATTATGTTTGGGACCGGAGCAGCAGGCATCCTTTCCCTACCTGGACCATCGACACAAAAAAGAAATAAACAATGAGGCGCAGTGATAGAGTACATTATTTCAAAAAGTTCAGCATTTCAGGAGTGATTCCAGTGCTCGAAGCGATGAGGTTTACTTCAATGAACAATGAACAGGTAATTTGTACGGGTTACGAAGCGTTGATTTATTAGTACCGTTGGATAGTTGGTGAGGATATAGATATAACAATAAGGATAATAATGATAGTAAAACAGTTAGTACTTTCAAAATGAAAATAATGGCTTATCGTTTGCACCGCTGTAGTCTTGCAATCCGCTTAGATTCACAGCACCCGCAGTTAACATCAAATAAATCCATGGTAAACTCCAGGTGTAGGATAGAGGCGTAGTGTTAAGTAACAAAATGTAAGTGGATGAGTGCATCATCCAACCGCCTTTTAAATACGGTTAGTGTCGGTGCGGTGACGACCGATTCTGGGAGAGCGCTCCACCGGTGACAGACACGAATGGAAAAAATTTCTTCAGCACTTCAGATGGCTATACTGTACTGCGAGTTTCAATGAGTGGCCCCTCGGGTTTGCATTGCTGTTGAGTTGCAGCAATGCGCGGCACACATGATGTGGGTCTCGCAGAATCAAGTATGCCATAATCAGGCCGCCACGCAGTCTGCGACAGCTTCCGCTGATACCCCCCAATCGTTGCAGCCTCTCTTCATAGGAAAGATTACGCATTCCAATTACGTTTTAAATGCCCGGCTTTGTGGCTGCTCCACTGCATTGAGGTCGTGTTTCAGCCATGGATGCCAGACTTGAGTTGCGTATTCGACATGGGGGCGAACATGCGCACTGAGCATTTATCGAAACATGAAAATGTTTATTTGTCCAAATGCCCGTCGCAACAGTCGGACATGTTGGTTTCCAATCTTATATGCTTTTTCGGATTGCCTGGAGCAACCCAAGTCATCTTGAACTCGTACACCCAAGTCACGTTTGACAGTTGATTGTTGCAGTGTATTCGTTCCGAGCCGGTATGAGTAGCTGCTCTGATGTCGGATGGAAAGCATCTTGCATTTCCTGACGTTGAAATGTTGTAGGTTTTCGGTTGACCATTGATACACCGTAGCTATGTCACTCTGAAGCAGCTTCTGGTCGGAGTTCGCCTGGATCTGGCGCCAAATCTTGATATCATAGGCAACTATTAGGAGGTTTGAAGCGATTCCATGTGTACGGTCATTAATAAACACCAAAAACAAACGTGGACCTGGAAGTGAGCCTTGCGGCACATCACACTCGACTTGTATAGGGTCCGATAAAGAGTTCCGAACTCTTCCCATTAATTGTGGTTGCAATCGGTAGTTGGCAATGCAGCTTAAATGAGGGTCGCCGATCTCGTCCTGCTAGTGCTTGGAGAGTAGTATCCGATGGTCTAGACCATCGGATGCTTTCGAAAAATCCAGGTAGATCGCATCAACGGCTTCTGCAGCGTCATCTGCCTCAGTCCAACTACTGCGTGCGATTAGTACATTCGTTGTGCATGACCGCTGTCGACAAAATCCTTGCTGCTTAGGCGTGATGATGCTACAGTGTAACCCGTGCGCTGAAATGCGTTTACTCGCAAAGATGACCTCAAAACCGAGCAATATTAGGTTTTAACTTTACCGAAACAATGTTTCAAGCTTAGTGGCCTTCCAAAACGAGCCCTTTACCCAATTTCGTATGATACTATGTAATACCCTGAGTCGAACGTGATAATCGATTGCTGCTAAGCCCGTAGTTCATTTCTGGCAAATCGAGCAACTTTCTGGACTAGCAACTTTTCTGAACCGAGTTTTTAATAAGGAGGAAACTTTTTTGTTGATGCAAACCGTTTCCGTAGTTTTAGAAGACCTTTTTACCTTCATTACTTTTAAAATAACATCTAGTATTTATTTATCCTAGAGGCGCAAATCTATTGAGGAGAAATAATAAACCTTCTGAGTAGGTACATCACAGGCGTTACTGGAGTTAGCTGACTCGGATATCCGTTCTCTGTGGTCACGTGTGTTGTATAGTGGAGCATTTTAGGTGCGGGAGTTATATACATCACATTGCGGCCCACAACATTCGGCGCGAAAGCTCACCGTTACTATCAATGCTTAGGAGCTCTGGGAACATCCAGAAAATAAGCTGGACAAATGTGTTTTGCACACTGATGGAACACACGCCGGGGAATTAACTCAACCACGTGAACTGTTAACTTCCAAGGCAAAACAACGATCGCAGATGCAGTTGAAACCGGCGTAAAACGAATAATCCGAGCTAATTAGGCATGCAATGAAAGTTCATCAAGCTCGACACTTTGCTTGCATCTGCGTTTGTCCAAATCGAAGGTCAGACCTCGGCAACACGCATGATGTCTAATGCGCGATTTCATCAGCATTTGGCTGGACCTGGGCAACACGCTCGCGAGGTATGTCCCAAGCACGCTTTGTGGCGAACACGCGCGCGTTGGCAATCACGTTTCTCGCTCACCTGTCAGTTGGGGCGCCATAGCCTCGGATATACGCAGACGATGATTGACGAGAAAAACTGTTGGAATGTATAGTAAATGCGAAAACAACCAAATCATCTCTCTTATCAAGTGCTAAATCCAGCCATGAAAGTGGAAGTGTGACACCGTAACTTCTGCTGAATTACCACTACGTCTTTCACGGACCTCACCTTCCTCCCTTGACAATGTCTTGCGGACACATCAATTCCCAACGATGGTGAAACTGTGAATAAGAAAAGGAGGCATCTAAACGGACCATATCCAGCTGCGTTCGTGAAATGTGCCTGTTTGTTGGTCTAACCACACTGAACATGAACGAACAAAACATTGCTGTTTATCGGGGAGGTGTCTAGTAGTATATCAGTTCAAAGGAAAGGGTCAAACAAGTGCAGGCGCACCGCACGCACTTCCGTAATGAAATTGTGCTTGAAATATAGTTGAGTCAGACACGTTTAGATGATTCTCTTCAGTGTACAGACAGTGGTTGGAGGTGCGCACAAGGTGTAGCAGTCTACCACAATGCAACGGAAACGAATCCATGTGAATACACTTTCTTGAACCTAGCATAACATAGGATGTATAAACAATAAGCTGTTACTGAAAGATTCCCATGAGTTTCACCTCTTGTTCAATTCCTAAGGGAAAATTTCGTCAGTTTGTCACCTTGGAGATTAAATTTCTCCACTCACCACAAATACTGGTGCTCACCAGCGCTCCAACCTGGCGTTAAATTCTCTTTCCCAGTTACGAGAAAGAAACATTACTGAAATATACAGACGGCGTGGTTTTGAGCATCCAACATCAGTCTATCGTCTCATGTTACCAGACAGTCTGGTCAGGTATATATTGTGGCCCAAAAGTCATGCTCTGTTGTTTGGTGCATAGAGCGAGGCGATATCTGCAACTTCTCACGAAATACTCTGATTTTACATGCTTCATAAATGCCTGCAATCCTTCACACCAGTGAAGTTTCCAGTTAGTCATTTCAGGACAAAGAAGTATTCAGATAATTCATAAAGCTTTAGTCCTACGGTTCCCCTGTGCCATCCCCTCATGTATTCTTCTGCCAGTTGATGCTGCTGTTTGACCCTGCTTGTGTGCTACGTTCCTCGGCATACTGAGTTTTCGGGATAATTCCTGGCGCACAAGGTAAACCTTATGAAAAACTTGGCGGGCGAATAATACAACTGTCTCAATGTAACGGCATTCCAGAGCGGTTGCTTGCTGATTTCATCGTGTAATCAGATACATTCTCATATAACGTTGCTTCAAAAATACTCACCGACACAGATAGTCCACTTCGTGGTGCTTCATCCGATAATGTATCAATTTCACCGAACAGACGAAACTACAAACCCATTTGTGCTAGCACACGTCCCTGCTGTTTTTCCGTTTACTACATCTACTATATTTTGCTGGCTTTCGCTCCCTGCCGTTTATGAGTTTACGCAGCAACACTACGTTGCAACCACTTTATCATCCATGCCATTTTTGGCCAACTCCTTGTATTCGCAAGTATCATGTTTCTATTTTAAGTAGTCGCATATGCGCTTTTTATGTAAACAGTCACCAATCCAGGATGCAGTTAGCTGATCCTTGTCTCGACTTGATTCGGCTTGAAAGGGCTGCCGTTGAAATCTCATGGTTTGCACAAACACTAATCATGCCTCGCAGTAGTAGCCAGTAATGCTAAAAAAATACGTCGTGAATCGCAACGAGAGCGCTGCTGACAACTAGTATCGCCCAACACTGATGCCAACTCACTTGTGAAGCAGAGTATCAGTTCTGGTTCATCCTCGCTCCATACTTCGTGGGCAGAAATGACTTGGTTACGTGAGCTTTCTGTTCGGAAGATTTGTGCAATCTCTCGATTGCGTTCGTCTATCAGATCAAACTGGTTTCGGTGACCCACACACAGCCGTCCTCCGGGAATTCCCTCAACAAAAGTCATAGTTTGAATCGGATCAAGGATGGGCAATTCCTGTCAGGAATAAACATGGACAGTTTTCAGTTATGAGATGCCTCTTGCAGTACATCGTATTAGGGTTCCGTCATCGATGTTACCCAGTGAGGTGTACACAACATAACTTACACGCAGGAATTCGAAACTGTTCGGGCTGTCCATTTGAGTGATCTGGTTCCACGAGGACAACGAGTGCCCAGTGATCATTTGCCACTGGTAGATCACAATGCGTTTGTGTAACACGATGGCCAGTTTCAACGGTTGTACAATACTCTTGCTGAGTGCAAAAAGCTGGCAACCTAAGATGGGCACAGATGAATGAGTATTGGACTGATATAAACTACGGACGCTAAGAGTAGTATCGTGTAAAGTAGAATATCGCTTTTAAACACTAGGTTAGATGACATCAGTGGCACTAGCAGTGGGATGGCCATCAGTCAGGAGTCTCGAGCTGATTTTCGCATATGAGCGTCTAGAGACAGAGTTCATTTACGGAGGAGGCTGAAAACGGTGACCGTAGCGGTTCGTAAATTTGAGTACCAATAACGATCCACGTTAAGCAACGCCTGCTCACAATCTAGTACTCCAACGTTAATTTCGTTCATCGTTGAACTCTTCAGGTAGAGGGTAGTCTAAGCGGGGTGCTGGAACCCATCTCGATAAGCGTCACTGGCGGAGTTTGGTGGCGTTGTGCAAAACCCATCACTCATGAACGTCCGATTTTCGGTCTTGATCTATAATCCACCCAACTCCGTCCGATAAGACCAACCAAGCAACCACGAAGGCCATCGTGGATTGGTGTCACCAGCGAATACTGCATGGCGTGCATCCGCTTTCAAGCGGTCCCCGTGACAGAATAGACAGAGTTTCACCTCTAGGTCAATCATATACTACATTGCAGAACGCCGCCCTGGATCACTACGAAGAAACACGGCTAGGAGCACCAAAAGTGTTACAATGCGGCATTTGCTCTTAACCGGACATTAAATCCAAGTAGCAAATGATTTTAGAGTTTTCTACTCTGTGCCAATGGGTTATACCAAAGCGCTCAGAAAGCATCCCTTAAAGACTGCTGAAGCAATCGCTACTGGACTGGTCCAGCCTGTTTTGTGCAGGCGGAATGCTGTTGCTTTGACCCCGTGGTAATTCCTCATATCCGACACTGTCAGCGTGTAGTCGACTGCGAGGCCAGCCACAGTAAATTGATGTTACTAACGATCCACTCAAACGCTTGTGGCCTAGCATTCTTTAACCAAGCTTTCAATAGCATACTGCGTTGTCACGTAATTAGAATCGCCCGATGATAATTGTTTCAAAGAGATCTCTTTGTTAATTGGATTTTTTAAAGTATTGACCTAGTTCAGGATTTGTCACAATTCATGCACAAACTAGGTACTTCAAATAAATAAACAATAAGTTACCTCTAGACCTTTCCAAGCTGAGTTTTTTCACCTGGCTCCTGTCCATCGGAGAAGACAAATCCAAATTTGTTAAATATACCACTGCCAATCGAGAATCTTTGCCTGTGTGACGGATAGAAAGGGAACGAGGGCTGTATTACGTGGAGCAACGGACACAATGTCGCGCATTCTATTCGTTCTTTACGGGTGTGAAGTATAAAATCAGTAATAGAAAGATTAAAACTTTTCTGTCATACATTTCTACTAGTCAGTGTATGGATGTATATTTAGTTTATATATATGTATATTTAGCTTGCTTTTATTCGTCCTTTTGCACGCAACCACCCAAAGTATTAAACACAAGCACGACATTTGTTTATCTGCAACACTGAGGTTAACTGTAGCATCGCCTTATTGATTATCACGCGATTCACGGTTGACGTGATGTCTGCTGCTCTCCGTCGGATTGTTGACTCAAATTCACTGCTGACCAGGAGTGCAGACTGTTGCGACTGTGTTGTCGCCCAGCTGAGCAGCATTTGGGCTTAATGAGATGAATCACATACTTTGATTCGGTGGTTTTCATCCCGTCCATCCCAAGGAACTTTTCTGTCGTGTTCAAATACTCTGCTTTCTTTTTGCCCTCGATGGCTTATCCTACTCAAACTTCTATTTAGCACTCGTCGGCCTATCCTGTGACCTTACATTTCATTGGTTGCAATTGAAACCTCCATCGATTTAATTGTACTACGCGTGTGTGCAGACACTTTCCTCCATACATACGTTCCGGTGCTGAACAGTCCCCTTACAATTTGTTTCAATCATGGTGTTTTACAAGGAGCGAATCTGCCCCTCTCCATTTTCTTTAGATATAATAATACATTCCGAACGGTTTAACTTTATTGAATGTAAATACGGGTGATGTCATTTTGGGATTTGTTACCCGTACTTTGAGACATTTACTATTCAGGATGGTCTGAATGAAGTTTTGCTCTGGTCATCTTCACGGCCTCTCGTTCCGAACCTTTTCCAACGCCGTGACGTTGCATTAGCGTCTCATGGTGCCGGTAAGCCAAAAGTGGACTTTAATTACTCTACCCTACTGAGGGTGTCCAATTCAAAACAAGGCAGCAAATGTCAAATATTTCTGAGTCGTTTTGTCCCAAAACCTTGGGGTACGCATGAAGGCAAAAGGTATTACTACCCATTTCAAGACGAATACTCTATAACTTCTTAATAACGACAATAGAAGGGAAAGGCGACAAGGTGAGACAAGAGTCATACCGCTGGAGATATGGTGGTGGCAGTTTGCGCGAAAATACGCACACAGTGCTATTATGATATTTAGACATTTTTCGGGCGCACCTTTCCTGAGTAGACAATCTCGAAGGGCGCCTTGATCCACCGAATCGAAGATACCTTTGATGTCGTCAAACTAAGTGGCGATGCTCTAACTATTGGCGTAAAGCCAATATGTGGTTAATGTAGTCTCGATTTCGAGGAAACGCGGCTTACTTTTCACAAAGTTGGCTTTCAGGAAGGCTGACCTATTTGTGACGAACGACAGAGCGAGCAACCTAGTGGTGAAAGATATCAGACTGTTTCTTTTATGCTGCTGTATTTCGAACGTGACTCGTCTTGGAGATCGGTACAATAGCGCAGCTGCTCTAGTCGGTTGGGATAGTTTCCTTCTTCCACAAGTTCACTAATAGCTCGTCAGAATCTTCCACAAGATTTGGTCACCGAATCGGAAAAGCATTGGAGGAATTTCATCCGGTACAGCTGCGCTAAATAATTCCAGCAGTCTGCCCTCAGGTTTAACGTCTGTACGGGAACGCAGATGTAAAAGGAAAGCTAATGGAGCTGGGTGATTACCAGCTGGCACCGAATGTGGTATTTCCGTCCCATGAAATTGCTTTCCAAATTGATCAGCCGAACACTCCTAGAGCTTTGATAAGTTATTGATAAAATGTCCACTCTTGTCGCATATAGTCTGGCTAACACCAGAACCAATGCTACCCGGTTCACGTACCAGACGGAATAGCTCCTGGTGGCTATAAAGGTCAGCGGCTGCTTCCAGCTACAACATAACGTGAAACAACCAGGCTTCGCCGTCTCTTCAGGTTTACACGCAGTTATGCTCGGAGATCTTTAGGAGCTTCGTTGTGTTCATTCCTGTCTGGAATGTATGGGCGAGCTTCCAGAAGTTCTAGAGACAGTGTAGAAACCCAGAGTCCGTGTGCAAAAGGCACTATACAGTACAGCTTAATGAATCATTGAGGGAAGCGAACCATCGCACCGGATAAGGTCCAGTCGCACTACCACAGCCTACTATTCCCAATCGTCGGTCAATAAATGAAATCATCGCAGGCTGAGCATCAAATAGTACGCGCCAAACCATCTATGGTTAACACATACCATAAAATCCATATAGCTACGGCTAAGATCAACATATCCAGACGCTCACGATTCCTGTTCTTGAATACTGCAGCATTATTTATGGGAGCATGCGTATAGATGACTGCAAAACTCAGGATGCCTGCGAACATCATCCACTAAGTGTTTGTTCAGTAAATAGTCCACCTTGCTCTATCGGGATCGTTGTCAAGGGCTTCACCGCGAGTCTAGTTGGTTGAGATGACTAAAACAAATTGATGCTGATTCACTGCCTCATAAATCAAGAGAAACCACAATCGGTATATTTTTGGGCTTCTCGCCAAGACTTGTAAGCTGATTAGGTCAAGAACCAGCACAGTTATTCAAGCCAACTTCCTTCATGGCAGATAGGCTTACGTGTAAAATAGCCTACTAACCACCATCAGGTCTTCTACAAATACTAGATCATTCGGCATTAAACATGGAAATTTTCAGGACCAGAACTCGATAATGACCATGTTTTCCTCAGAAAAAAACTAGGAATATGTAGCCAGTGAGAAAAGATGTCACATAAACTACAGGACTAACAAAAGCTATGCGTTTCAGAAAGTTTTGGGGGCACAGACGGTTCAGAATACCTATCTCACGTAGGTATGAACATGATCTGTCCCTAGTTCATGAGCCTCCTCTAGCACAAACGAGAAATATATGTATTATATATCCCGCGACATGTTAAAATGTTTCTAATGTTTCTAATACCTACATTCCAGTTAATCTTTTATTAAGTAAGCAGGCTAAGGGCTTTGATTTCCTTGACTTAACTACTCCGAAGGCAACACCGCTGTTAGACCCAACTCAGGTTTATAGTAATAGCATGATTGGTTCGCAGCGGCATGGCTGTTTTACAGCATTTGATCGATGCATGCCCAAAACTTTATGGACGAACTGTAACTTGTACCAACTTAATCAACTTAAGTGAAGGTCAGAAGCAGGCGCTAAATTGCTTTTAGGACGGAATCTTAACCATAGAGTCCGGGTTAGCCATGAGTGCGTGCACGCTTGTTCGTGTGGTCGATCGAGCCAACGTGTGCGCAATGCACGTTGGAAGGCCGTCCTGGCCACTGAATCACGTGACTTGTTCACACGACTGGATTCTTCGGTCCAGTAGTTGTGATGGTCGTACAACCACACCCCTTGGTACGCACGTAATGTCACCCACTGGCCGTGATGTCAGGAAGGCCAGACCTGGATTCGACTGCTTTCATTAGCATACTGTTGCTGTTTCAGTCTTATGGGTAGCATTCACACTGCATTGTCAATCATGTTTAGCATACCATCCTTTGTAACGGGCTGAGCAATGAGGTGGCCACAGTTGACCAACATTTATGTACCCCAACGTCGGACTGTGGAAGCGTGAAACTGACGTATCCCAATTCGCAACATGCCTTCCGGTTTACCTCCATGACGTGGTGATTGCCACGGCAACGACACGATTCTGCTGATACATCTATCGATTCTGATACTCCGTCCATTCCAACCCGATCTCATTTGCTCTGTTGACCATATTTCCGGCGTTGGGACTGTTTCGCCCATATCCTCCTGCATGCAGACACGCTCCTCACACACTCACGACAGCCTGTGACCAATCACAGTGAAAGGCACGCCTTGTGTCCCTCATTGCCTAACAACAAGTGGACTTGGGCAGCTCTCGGTCTATCGACCGGCAAGCTCACGCGTTGCTTATCACACCTCCGTGACAATGTGCTTGTGCTTTATGGTTGAGTCGATTTATCAAAATTCGTCCAATGGTGGATTTTAACACGTTAATTTGTTGTAAAATGTACCATATAGTTTGGATGCAAGTCCTGTTTTGAGCCAGTTGAAGCCGCTTGCTCCGTTTGCCTGGACGACTACGTTCGGTTTTTATTTGTACCCCAAGGAGCTAGGGTAGGGCGAGGCATCTGACACACCTAGTATTAGAACTCCAAAATCGTTATAAACTAATCGTGTTTGTAGACGGCGAAAGAGATACCATCAGATTGTTGACATTACAGCTTGACCTTTTTCGAATGTGCCTGCTCATTGCTAATCTCTAAAGAACATTCATGGCATAACGCATCACAAACGATGCATGTTCGTATTGAAACACCAACTGCGATGTGACCTACCTGGCAGTACACCTCACCATATGCAAGTTTCAATAATCATTACGTGCATACCTGCATAGAGCTCTTCTGAGTCCCTAGTCTGATGCAACGACTTCTTTACTAGACAGTCCCTCTATTCAGAAGCTGAAATCTTTTTCTAGAGAACCGTGATAATGTCTATTAAAGCCAACCCACGGAATGAACGTTATCACGAAGAGAAACGTTGCGACGGTTGCTCTTAGAGGTTTTTGAACACGATTACGTGACACTTGAACAAAACCACAACCACTGTCTTTTTACACATTACTTTTTACCACTGTGCTACGGCACAATACAGTCTGGTACCGCGACTTCCTTTTGCGCCAAATATGTGCCCGCAAATAAATGTAATGGTTGAGCCTGCCTCCGAATACTCCCTACAGCAAAGCTTCATAACTATTCGGTGTTATCTTTCAATAACCTTATTGATTGACACTCGCTTGGGTTTAGCGCGGATTGTTTTAACATATCTGGTCTACTGATGCTACCCGTGTGGTAGACTGCGTACGAAAATTACGACAATTCAATTGTTCTTGCAAATCTGGGCAAAACTGGAAAAGCACAATCAGAAACAAGAATTTCGGGTCGAGTAATTGTTTCCCCAGTTGGATCAACCACTGGAAGGCTCCATTAACTCGTCTGTGCTTCCGGATTTCATATACAATACTAATGTGCAGATCGATATCTTGTGGGTCATGCGCATCGATCGTTTTACACTACATGAACAACCTGTAGCAGCATTGTCGCACTGACGCATGGTGATTGTGTGTTCTCAACAGGTACTGCCATTACGCCAAATCAGTTTATCCCATTTGTCTGTACTCGACCTTACAGTGGTTCATGTACACTACATTGACGTCTTGCAAGCAATTGTTCGCGGACGGTGCTTGCACGCAACAGCTGAGTACGCAATTTAAACACATTTGCACATGTATTGCCTGAGTTACTGGTTTGAAACAAAATGCCTACGCCTCTCCAGCGCTTTCCTCACCTTTGTCATAACGGATGACCATGATGTCCTGCTGATTCACCACCTCTAGCTGTCGTACTTCGATCGATCGATCGATCAGTGGAGTGGGGGATCCCTTGTCTGCACAAGGAAGAAAAAGCACTTTTAATTATCAAGTGTTACTTGTGTGAATTGCCACACATTGACACACGGTAGTTGCATCGGGGTGCATCAATCCCAATCAAAACAAAAGGGGAACATAGTTATACCGGGAGGCGTTGCTGTATCTCACTATGCTTAGTAACATCTTAGATACTTTGCCCGACTTCATCTTAGCGCACAGTTGTGAAGACACAAAATGAATGTGATATTTTGGTTAAACTACTCATGTACTTCCGCCTACTTGTGATTTCGAAACATACTACCAAACGGCAAAGTATGATGAGGTCCGAGATGATTCATGAGCAAGACAGACAACTCTCCCAAGAACAAAATTATTGTCGTTAAACATTGTTTCCACTTGCAGACGTACAGTCCCCGTGCCATCGAAACGTGTGGTTTACAGCTTCTAGTACGACAACACTATGTATTGATCCCAATTAACATAGACATTCAACAGTTCGACCAAGTATGAGAAGCCAGTAAGACAGATATAAATCCTCCAACACCGATTCCGGGTTGCACAACAAGGCCCGACTTACACGGCAAGTGAAGCATGGCTGCAGAAGAACAAATCGGACAAAGCACAGTATGCTTCCCTATTCTCTAGGATCTACTGACGGAAGACGAACTGTCCACATGTGGTCATGGATTTCGCATGTTGGTGACCTCAGTGGTTGACCAGGGATCTATTGAAATGATCTTTGCATTATCATGACACATCGAGGAAATGGGAAAACATAAATGTCTAGAAGGAACTTGGTGATAAAGGCAAATCTGTTTTACTGAAGAACATTACATTACGCGTCCTTCAGTCTTAGTAAAAGAAAAGCCGTTTCACGATTATCTATCTTAACTTCCACACCGCTGCTCCATTCGCAGGTAGCTTATTTAGGTTAACATCTTGGCTGGGTTATCCTGATCGGAAATTCGACTACACCGGCCGTAACCAATAATAGGCCCCTTCGGGCTTGAGAATTCGTAGGGTTGCACGTGCGACCAATTTGAATTTTCGACGTGTCTCTTTCATACTTATTAATAGCTAGATGGAGGTCGAGGTGGCTGTTCCTCGTTGTCCGTGAGGAGCAGTCGGGAAACGACTTAGACAGCCGGGACAGTGTGTGCAAGGTTAGTGGAACCCAATATGCATAGTGAAACCACTAACAGGACTATTCCCATCGTTAAGTCCATGTGAAGGCGATGTGCCTATGCGAACGGTGGGCCCAGAAATTGTCAACCGACATGACTCGTCAGTCCACCAATATCCTTCTCGACAAATATATTTGTACACACTTTTATCCTTTCGGAGCACGTGGACAATTGTCACTCAATCAAGCTCTGGACACTTCCTTGGATAACCCCCTTGACAAATTTTGTTCGACTGAAAGCAACCAATTCAACCACGTACTCGACGAAAAGTAATAGGCCGTGAATATAGTACACATTAAACCCTGTGGGTACAGTTTTAAATTTCGGGTGCACCTGGATAACTAACTGCTTGACACATGCGTCTGCGATGAGCAGGAATCGCTTCCTTTTTGAATACAGTTGTCATGTAATAAAAAAGCATGCCTAATGGCACATTTATCAAAGTCAAGAGATATCATTGATCGGATCTGATCTTACCTTTGAGAAGGAAACTGCCTGCCTCACCACTGACGATCAGATGGTCACCTGAAATAATGGGTTGGAAAAAACAGTAAAAAGACTAAATCCACATTCAGCGTATTCACGGTGGACTGGAAAGGGTTTCAGTTCGAATAAACATCAGCTGAAGATGGTCAAGCCACAATGATCTGGACAGAACGAATCTACCAGAAAATTTCCACTTTTTACAGGAAAAGACCGTAAATGATCCGACGAGGTGTGTCTCCCAATTCAAGATCAAGGGATAGTCCTGAGGCATGACCTACCACATTCATATGCGCTACAGTCTTATAGACAGATTACAAATATTGCATAAAACTAAACTCGTATACATTTGAGAAATAGCGACGACGTGCGACGTGACTGCAGCAGACTGAACTCCTAAATTAATCCAACCATGAAAAATATACAATTTCTATGAGAGTTATTGAAAACATAAACGAAATTGTTACACATAGAACAGGGTGAAGTTGGTCTCATCATAACATACCAATGAGAAAACGTTTCATTGATGACCGCGTGAGTGAACTCCGTGGCATCCCAGGTAGCTAGTCGGCTTGCTACTGCTGCGCGCACATTAGGCCTATTTCCGACACTTTCATGAGTGAATCCACCATGGGGCTACGTGTCACTAACTCGCCTTAATCCATATGGGCACGTCGGTCGGTGTGTTAGTTTCATCCCCAAATCGCGAAACGTCATGTCAGTACTTGAGGTCCATAATCTCACGGACCGAACCCATGTCTTGATTGCATTGCTCTCGAGTTAATAATAAGCAGACGGGTCATTAAAAAAGAAGACTCTACCAAGTACTCTACTGTGAAATAGGGATCAAGGATTCGATTGCGTGTATACGATGGTTAGCGCGCAGTTGCTTCATTATGCGATCAGTTTTGCAAGAAAAACTTTCGATGATACAATGAGTCACTGTCGCCGTCAACTAGTACTCGATGCTACTATTAGGAAAGTACACCAGCGCTTCACCCATGCAATTTTTGAACAGCAAGATCATGAGGTCAGGGTTGTAGAGCACGGACAACCCTTGGTGTACGACCCCATTATGACCGATGGGAGAGGTGTCTTGAGCGCCCGCGTTCGCGTTCGTATCACTTTACTCAGAACGGTCGCAAGAAAGATGTTGCCTACATTGCTGTCCAGTTCATGGTGCTCACGTATATGCAGTAGCATGAGTTGTAGCTTCGTGTCGAGCACCGCAGCTGGGTATGGGTCTAACTCGATGGCACATCCCTAACAAAATGAAATGCAGGAGGACAGTTAACGATGAAACGATTGAGCGAACTTCAAGATCCAGAGATCTCACACCATTTTAAGGGGAGGACGGTTAGACCACTGGTATTGTAAGGGTTACAGGAACGCACTGGAACCCTTATAAATACCATTGTGAAGTAATGCTTCTTCACTTAACTCCAAGGTTAGCACTGCAGAGGTCTGTGAAACTTCATCGGAGCTCCGGCATGAATGAAGAGAGAATGCTGGTAACACCAGTGTACTACAACACCCAAAGCTCAAAGCTGCTTTCCGTATGGCGCCTCCCGAATGTAGGCCGCGATGTAAGGTCCCAGCTGTATAAGTGAAACCGTAGGGTTCAACTTAGTTCGACTGTGGAGGCGATGCCTCTTGTCTAAACTCATGTGCTTAGTGTTAGGCGATTGCACTGAGAGGGACCGAACTCCTAAGGGTTTGTTGCTTATACAATGTGTCTGCCTGTCTTCACAGCAGTACCCATTGATCGACCCAAACAGCATCTCTGTGATCAACATATACTCGAGTATGTAAAGCAATCTACTTGAAAGACTTTGCATAAGCCGATGTTGTAAGGTCGATCTAGTGTGTGGCTAAGCAAAATATCGTCGAAATAGTCTAGACTGTAGAAACCCTTCTGAACTAGCCTGTGTATGAGGTGTTTGCGGTCGGTCCTTACCAATCCAAAGCACTCGGAATTTCACAGGTAATGCATGCTGCCTTGTGCGCATCAACGCAACTTTAGGTACACGAAAGGTGTACCGTAGAACCACGCATTTTATCACGATCATAGTAACAGCATTATCACAACAGCACGCGCTTCTACATTCCGTGTACAGCTCAACAGAACGTCAAAGTTGCAGTTTTCCCTGTCAGCAAGCCTACATAATGCTGACTGCGAAACCAAGATTTTCTTTCCGGCTACGAAGCGTAACTTAGTAGTTTCGGTTTTGTTTCTATAAAAGTAAGATTAATGCTGCAGAAGGTAAGTTACTCTGCTAAAACACAAAGTGGATAAGATGCTTAAATATTCAGAATAGACCAAATGCCGTTACTATGGACTGCGCTTGTGCAGTGGGCAACAAAAGCAAATGCAATGATATTGATAGCTTTCTCCTTCAGAAGGAAACACACACCATATACCTTGAATCCGGTTGTGTGTGATAGGTAACAGTTTGAGACACTATGAGTTAGCGAACATTTAGATGCTGTAAAGGTTGTGTTAGGATTAGTAGATTGAGTTCTTGATGAAGCTGAGTAGTATACTTTTCTTCGGCTACAATAGCACTTGCGGGGGGTGCCCCTATTGTCTCTTCTGCATTGTGAACCAAGCCACCGGTAGCTTAAGTGCACATGCCATCCACTGGCAGTTGTCGGTCCCACCGGTGTGGCATTTTTCTGGCATGGCTCGTACGCTGAATGGCTCTTGAAATGTAGTGAACCACAGATTGAGAGAGCGAAAGCCGTTATGAGCGACACCGTCTCCGTTGGTTGTCTGTATACGCATACGCACTGAGTTGGTTAACATCGTAGTACCGTTGCTTGTTGCCGTTTCTCTTAGGTCTTAATCCATGTTTCCGTTCTGGTAATCGAGGTTTTTATATGGTTTTTTATAGTTGTGTATCTTACTGAAGAAGTCAAGAAGGCATCTCTCACAAACATGAGACTGTAAATAGTGAATGCATACCCCAGGAATCTCCGCACACAACTTCCACATGAAATGAAGTATTAAACCTGGTTGGTTGCCAAGGCTGTAAGGAAAAGGTAGAAAAAGAAAGCAATCAGATTAGGGAGATGTTTTAGTCTGTTATTCATAACCAAACTGAGAGTATGATTCAGTAGTTCAAACCCCCATCTGGCTCGGTCGGCCGCTTTGACAGAACAAGCGATTCGCAGCAAACCAGTCATTAATACAGCGAAGGTGTGCTTTGGTTGCCATCTGAATTCAGCGCAGCCAAGCACTCAGTATTTTGCGGTGTACTGCGGAGAACAAGATGACAGCTCCTCACGGGTGCGCCAATCCGAGACAGTGAGCTTTATCATGTATAAGGCTGCAATGCATTAAGGAACGTCTACTGCGAAATCCAGTATAGAACACAATCCACTCCACCTGTTCTTGTCTACAACCGTTACCTGAGATTGGTATACACAGCAAGAAAGCACAAACTAACGTTGTTCCATTTGTGGCACTCGTGTGTAAGTGGATTTCGATACCCATCCTCAATCTGCACCGTAATTCGCTTCTAGACGAATTTCGGTCAGTTTGATCAATGTGACTGCAAATGAAATGGAGGAATGGTTGGAGTCACGTGTTAACACTCCACGACCGCTTTCGCGCTTCGTTGTGGTCTCCAGGTAGAGATGACCCAAATTTCAATCAAGCCCGTGATACACAGCTTACCGACTAACACGTTTATCCCTACCCATCAAATGTGTCGATGCTATTGGATAAAAAAGCAATAGCTTTGATTAACAAGTTGTTTACATTGTCCATTGATGCTCAGAGTCAATCGAATAACAATCACTTCGGGATTATTACACCATAAACTAATAAACCATCGCAATACAGCGCTTTAGTGAATTCAGTACTAACCTGTCCTCTAGAACTTGGCTCTATGAGAAACCGACAAGTTAGAACAAGCACCTAATCGAGACGAGTTGTTAATCCTGATGTTAATTGGGATGCTTTTGCATTGTTGAGACAAAAGTCCTTGCCCCTCTCCAAATTAGACTACGTGTAGTGATAATTAAAAGTCAAAGCCTGCTAACACTACAGATAAACGGAGTATTTTTCAAAAACAGCGGCTATGGCTAGATTGAGTTAGATGATATCATCTAGCCGAGAACTTTCTGGACGATCATTTATCTTAACTGAATTCCTCAGCCCTTCGTAGTTACATTGCTTCTCGAACGCAGTCGAGCTCCTGTTGTCTTCACCTTTGGCTTGAACCCAAAAGACGTTTCTTCTCTCTCTGGGTCGCGAGTAGTCGTGCTTTGTTTGTGTTTGTCTCGGTACTGTGAGGACGAACCGTTAGCTGAATAGGTCACCGGGGACGCGTCGAGCGGAATTCGACCAGTAATTTGTCCTCGCGAGCAACAGACACAAGAGCCGAATCCTTGTCCTTACTAGGAGCGCTGTATCCAAGCTAGGACGTTACAAGTGCTCTATTCTATCCCTTATGGACGCGGATCATTAACTCCCTGCGCTGTACAGAACAGTTGAGATCACTGCCCTTCATTTGCCAGTTACTATACAGCTTAGCTCGTGCCCGATTACTGCAAACTTTGCATCCGTCCAGAAATAATGGTTGGCTCACGGGGGAGCGGTATAACACACGAAGCCGTCGAGGATCACAAGTCGATTTCTAATTTCACAAGAGCAATAACGTGCAATAACCGCCTGAGCTTAGTTGCGGCACCTCTGAGTAGGCAAACTCAGTGGAATCATCTTGTACTGGATGGATGATAGTCCTATTCTGAAGTTACTAGGAGGTTAACTGACAAATACTCTAGATGATAAACAAAAATAGCACAAAAATTGCAAGAAATTTTACAGCATATCTAGTTTCCTTTCTTATGCAATGAATCACACCTCCATAACTAAGGCCGAGCGGTCACATGCAGGTATGAATACACGCCGAATCGCTGTAGTGATTACAACATACCTAACCTCATCCATCACACCGGAGACAAAGCAATTAGTACCATCCCCGTATGTCATTTGCTAGCTCCCGAAAGGCCCGACAGCCACCAGCCGCTCGCCTCCCAAGTAATAGACAAGAGAGGAATTGTTCCCCGTTGTTTATAAGCTGGTTGCTCCAACATCAATTGTCCGTTTCTCGCTTTCACAGTGCCCGACAGCCCGCATTCAGTTGTTCGGATGAATCTGTTCGTCCAGTCGTACGCTGAATAGCTAAAGGACGTGCTGGAGGACGTGAAGATTTAACTGTGCGACAGTATGGCATCGGATGCGCATCAGGTGCGCTTTGGTTAGTGGAACGCAGATTTGTAACTCGTGCACGCTAGCAACCGACTTGGACGTGGCAACTTGCCAAATCAGCAATCGTCCCTTTAAAGTATTGTCTTGATCGATGGATCCACGCTTTATGCCGCCTGTGGCGTACCTCTGAAGTTCGAGTGGTTGTTGTGGCACGGAATAGTCTTGCAAAGAAGCCACAATAGCACTCCTCAGTCAATCGCTTCCATAGTAAGATTTCATTGCAACGTGGCGTAAACATGTTCTTCAGCATGCCACTTAGGTTAGTTCTTGCGTCAAACAAATCCCATTCAGTCGGTGCGAACAGAGGTGTATGTTGTTCGTTGAGTGCCCGATCCTAAACCATCCAAAAAGATGTCGGATGTTTGGGCGACATGGAGTGGCAATATGTCCCTATAACTTGTACCATATATGTGTACGATGCAGAGGGATATGCGTTAAAGGCAGCTACATAGTTCAAAGTCGAGTACATTCATCGTACAACCGAAATGCTCCTTAAAGTCTTCGTGTTCCCCCGTTAGTCACTCAGCTTAACTTAGAGGTCAGTCCAACTGCATCCCGTGTGTGTGCGCACGCACACACAACCGCATTTTCCTATAGAGACAGGTATAACGTGTTGAATCTTGAGTCTCTGCAGTTACGAAGATTGCATTTGATTTGGTGCTTCCTCCAAAATTCCGTGTCGCGGAAATCGTCTGTTGGAAATTGTATACTTCGTACTCGCCAAAATACCAGGTGTAAGATACAAGAAAGCGAATGCATAGTCACAGTGCTCAGATGCAAAATTAACTCGAGTAAAATTGCCCAACTCCTTATGTGCGGTTACATATACAGAGTGTTTTGGAAAGCACGTCGAAATTTTAATCGGTCGCACTTGCATGCTGACGCACCGCCGCACGCTGAATTGCCCACTGCCCAATGGCGAATGTTGGTTCGCCTAAAGTGCCGACACAAGTGGATGACAGGTGTGGGTTCGGGACTCAGAGGCGGGACCTGTGTGTCCACTATCGCCTTGCAGACCAACGGAACCGAGGCCGTTCGGCTGTGAGTATTGAATGTTATTTAAACACCAATGCCGCAATGGAGGTGTCATGCTTCGATCGCAGGGCATCCCATTGGAACCGAGGCCGTTCAGCTGTGCGAAGTGAATGTGGGCCAAACACCAAAGCCAAAGTGGTCGACTGGTGGACGGACCTAATCCAGATGAAACTTACAGCAAGAGGGATCCCTGCGAAATGGTCAGTGCCTCGCTGTTTTACTAATGGAGCAAGAGTTGCACCAGTGTCCTTGCGGACACGTAAAGTGTCGGCCGATCAGCGCGTGCTCATTGTGCAGCTGTATGATGAGTGCAGGTCCAACGATACGGAAACCGCGCGGCGCTACAACATTATGTACTGCATCACGTGGCCCATTAACAATCCGTATGTGCGTCAAGTGTTGAAGAAATTTGAAGAAAATGGCAGTGTTTGTAACGTTAAACAAAGCGGACGTCCTCAACTGAAAATTAGTAAATTGCATTATATCGTCTGTCTATCGTTGTGCATTTGGTTGCCAATGGGATCATTTTTAAGTTTCGATTTCAACAAGACCATTTGGTGAGGAATCGTTTTCAATGGTTCAGGCATGAATTTTTAAGTACTTGCAACCGCTAGCTAATAATTGACGACAATCCCTAATTTCATTTATATTGCCATCTACTCGGTGTTAAAGCACATTAACAACATCATAGTCACTTTTAATCCACTTGTTGATTACAATCTTGACTTCCTCTTTGTTTTGCTGCTTTTGACAGGGGCATCATCTCGGAGAATAACGTGTCATTATTAGACGAAATAAGAAAACCCGTCTGTGTTTCAATGGATTGTGACAGAACCAAGAAAAGAAAAACAGGGTGCCCCACTATTGGGACAGATGAGCAAACTATTGCAGTTAGCTACATTGATATATTGAAAGCTGCGATAGGCACGCACCATATATTTCTGTCACTCAACCAATGTCCTGTTTACCATGAGCCACTTTCGCCTCAGCGTTGAAGTCACCTGTTGCTCACGGCTGCGAATAATTTGTACTCGTATGAGCGATCTACCCTGATTCCTCAGCTAACAGCACTTCGCTATTGGCGCAGTGTTCGTGAGAACTGTAACTGCGGTCTACATAGACGTCATTGGAATTGCCTACACACTAACCGCCAAGAACTGTCATTAACCCTGGAATGCAAACAGCTGAAAGCAAGTGAATTGCTCCACATTTATACTGTCGCTGGATGGCATAAAATACTTTCTGTAACTTAGGCTGCACATAAATCCCGTTGTCCTCGAAATCAATGCGCGTCAAGCGTTCAACATAGATTAGGGCCGCTACAACGCCCGCTACGCTGCGGTCTCTGTACACGGGCTGATATATTACTAAACAGGATTGGTTGTAACTATGGCATTTCATGCACTACTAGTAGGTAGTAGCAAAGATCGATGCTGATGTGGCAAATGATGTGCCTGGTCGTGCCAGTCTGGCTAAAGTTGCCTGGCTGTCGGATGAGTGCTTAATGTAAGAAACCTACCATGTGATATACAATGCATGGCTGCGCTTGCTGTGAATGTTTACAAGGTGTCTGCCTGACTAACAATCACCACCCCGATGGTACTGGTCCTATGATGTGATAAGATTGTGCAAGCATGCGGAAAGCGAACGGAGCAGTTTATTGGACGCATATGCATATTTCGTCTATGCGCTGACGGGTTCGCTGGAGCGGGTTAG